AAACTAATACGTCCTCTTTATAGTCTATTGAAACTAATATGTATTAAAACTATTTTTTTGAAAACTGATATTCTTTTTGTATTAAAATTTATACGCGTGGATATAACCTTTCAAGCAAATGATAGTTTCGTATGCTTCCGCTGTCGTCAACAATTTTAAACCATGATACTTATGTGTCTTAATAAACCATAATCCACATTATTAATAATGATCATACACATGCAAAACAAACATTTGGTTTGTTAAGGAATGCGAGTTAATTGTTTGACAAATATAGACGTCTTTTCAAACCCTTCAAAACACCATGTCCTTATCTGTGAGGGCAGAGCTAAGTCAGATCACTTATCTATTCCTCAAACTTGCTGGCTTTAGGTGTCCAAAATAATATATTTAGATTTCATTACTCTAAATTTTGTTCCAACCGAGTAAACTGAATGCATGCAATTGAAATCTCAATTTTTTCATCCTCTCTACGATGAAAACGAACCTGAAAGAGGGGCAGCGCTAAAAGCTTCGGCAATTCCTCTGGCCAAAAGCTGCAACGCCAATTCGATATGTGATCTATGGTCCCACATTAGACGATGAATCGAAGCTTTGTTCCCAACGACGCAGTGCCTTGAGCTCCCAAAAGGGTTCTTAGAATATTTATTCAAATCTTTAAAGCCTCATGCCCTAATACATCACTTAAACTCATATTCAAACAGATGATTACAAATAAGAACGAATCAAGATTCATACATCACTACAATGTCATAGACATAAAGATATCTAAGAACATATGAGGAAAAAGATTAAGACTTTTAGAGAGAAACTTGGAAGCTATGAATGATACTTTACTTTAGTTTATAAACAACATAGTGGGCCCAAATCTGATCTTTCAATTTCATAGTAAAGGAACCATATTTGAACAGAGGTAGATCGATTCGAAAAGTTAACTTGGACCCAAATCAATGGCTCAAACCTGAAACCTTGTAACCCAAATATTTACCTTCCATGGAGGAGACGACGGGTTTCTAGTGATCACAAACGGTTTCACATCGGAGCAGACATCATCGACATCGAGAAATCATCTTTGAAACCCTGGAAAATCATCTTCGAACTTATCGTAAAGAAGAAAAAATCTAGAGCGCTTCTTCTTTGAATTTGAATCTAACGAATAGAAAGTGCTTTCTTTATTTGTAATGCAATAAAACAAAACTGGAAAATCATCAAAGTGGTAAGAAAGTCAAGTACGTAAGCTCAAGATCGAAAGTAAACAGCTG